AGTGGATTTTGTATGTTCTAAGTTCACGGCTGCTGTAGAGTGGTACATAAATAAACATACAATAAATTATCCCTAGAAGCAACTGACAGCTTGCCTCTGGGAGCACTTAGGAAGTAGATTGCAGTTCTGTTCAAAGGAAGCTCCCTTGGTAAAGACGCAGACTGTGAGGTTTGTGTGTGGCCTGGCATGTTCATGGGGGTGGGCTGAGTTTCTCGACCCCGCAGCCAACTTCCCTCACAAGTGGAAAATAAACCTTTGTGGTCCTCTTGATGGCCTGACTCTTTCAAGAAGAGGCTCTTGGTAGCTCAGGGGACTGGGAATCTCCACTAAGGTGATGTCAAAGCTCCTACTAGCCCCAGAGTTCCAGGTGGGGCCTAGCTTGTGTATTATAGAAGCTTCTTGCTCTCACTGTCTCCAGTGTCATACTGTCTTATTGCTGTAACAAAATACACGAGGCTGGGCTACTTACAAAGAATATATATTGTTTGGCTTATGATACTAGAGATTGGGAGGGTCAAGTGCTGGCTTGGTATTCAGTAAGGGCCTCCCTGCCCCCTCATAACATGGCAGGGCATCATCTGGTATAGGGAAGCAAGCGTACTAGCTCAGGTCTCTCTTCTAATCAACTTGTTAATCCCATCATGGAGCCCCAAATGACCTCATCTAACCCTAATCCCCTTCTAAAGGGGTAAGTACTCTAAATCCCACTGGCATCCGGGGATAAAATTTCCAACGTGAACTTTCAGGAGACGCATTTGAACTACGGTATGGGCGGGTCCCGTGCACCGCGTTGCTGCTCGGGTCCCTGGCTCTCGGCGTCTACTGGATGTTGGCGACTCGCTTCCAGGCAAGTTCCGTTCCAAGCTACCGGGCACTCCCTCGAGGTACGCGATCCGCCGGCCGCCAGATCACGTGGGGAGGTGCGGGAACGGTGAAAGCAGAGGCAAGTTCCGTTCCAAGCTACCGGGCACTCCCTCGAGGTACGCGATCCGCCAGATCACGTGGGGAGGTGCGGGAACGGCGAAAGCAGAAGGGACAGCCCCCTCCGGAGAGGCTGAATCGTAGGCAGTAAGACACAGCATACAGCTCTGTCTGACTCAGTGATACAGCTCCTTTATTCAGTGATTTAGCTCAGCTCCAGATCTTAGTGATTCAGCTCCGATTTATTAGGGGGAAACTAGGATATTTATAGTGTGGAGGCAGTAGCAAAAGCCTTAGTTGATAGGTGCTTTGTAGGATGCCCCATTTACATGTGGTGGTGGGCTTCTGCCAGGCTGTCAGACATTGCCTGATTATCACACAGGAAAACCTGGCAGTTTCATGCCGGAGGATATGTATCTGTGACGGGCACTTCAAAAGGTGAGTCAGGAAGAGAGTAGGAAGGCGCCCTGCTGGAAAGGGGAGTCTCTGCATAGAAACGCCGAGCCCCTTAGGCTATCCGGACATGGAGAGACTGCGACCCAGACAGCAGGGGTCCCCAACACTACGGCACACAACTGCCCTGTGAGAAGCAATGTCTTATGTATGCCCCATGTCCAGCCCTACCAGGTGCTCACCATGCTCAGGCCTAACCTCCAGACAGACACAGAGGGCTCAGAGAGGAAATTCAGTTGCCCAAGCTCACACAGCCTTTTGAAGACAGAGATGGGTTCAAACTCAGGCTATTTGGCCCTGAACCTCTGTAACCCGTATCAGACCAGATCCAGGCCAGCTGAACTTATTGGTGAACCAGGCCTCATCCCAGACTCCTTTGTACCCAGGTCTCTGATACTGTCTCAGGCTTGGGTGCCACTTGCATTCAGAACCTCTTGTCCTGGGCCCTTGACCCTTGCTGAGATCTTAGCCCACACCAGTACTTACCTTCCTAGGGATGCCAAGGTGGATGTTCTGGTTGATTCTACTTGGTATACTCCAATTCTCCAGAACATAGACCCATCCTTGCCCAGTGTTTCTGAGGTCAGTTTTCTGGTGACTGGTTTGTCCAAGCCATGCCTAGCCACCTTAGCACTAGGGCTGTTAAGGTCTTGGCAACTTGACGGGAGGAAGGGGATGACCCTGTATGGGGCTGGACAGTCCAGGGAGCCATGTCAGGAACAAGGTACATATATAGTACACTAAACAGCTCTCCATGCCGAGGAGGTGGAGGAGTCTTGGTGGGGATGAGAGGTTGGGGTTGTTCACAAAAATGGGAACCTCAGGGCTGGCAAGATGGCTCAATGGTTAAGAGCACTTGCTGCTTTTATAAAAGACTAGAGTTCACCTGGGAACCTCAGGGCTGGCAAGATGGCTCAATGGTTAAGAGCACTTGCTGCTTTTATAAAAGACTAGAGTTCACCTCTGAGCACCCATGTCAGGTAGCTTATAACCTCCTGTAACTCCAGCTCCAGGGGATCTTATTCCTTCTGTGGGCACTCACACACATGCACATACGTGCATACGGATGTACATATACACGTAGATGAATAATAAATATTTTTTAAATGGGAACTTAAAGGAGGAAGGGCAGACTATGGAAGATGTGTGGGTCCTGGCAGGTCATCTGAGAGCCAAGCCTGCCACCCCCAGGCTCATCAAAGGGGACTCCTGGGATCCCTCTCCTTCCCAAGAGTTGAGTGGGCCTGGGCTGGAGAGCTGAAGCACTAGCTGTTTCAGAGAAAGGTACTTCCACACTGTGTGTGCACATATATGTGTGCATGCATATACACGAGTACATGGAAGCCAGAGGTCAACCTCAGGTGTCATTCCTCGGTCACTATCCACCTTGTTTTTCGAGACAGGGTCTTTCCAAGTAGGCTCCACTGGCTGGCGAGCAGGCCCCAGGGATCCATGTCTCTGCCTCCCTGTGCTAGAATTACAGGCACCCCATCCTTCCTACATGGAATCTAGGGTTTTGCCCTCTGAGCTGTCTCTCCAGCCCCACTCCCACACTATTAGTAGCAGTTAGTGTGGGAGCTGCCATTGGTGGACAGAGCCAACCCTCCTGACATTGATTGGCTTGCAGATGATCCTGTGTCCCAAGATGCTAATCAGGGACCTTCTCCCTAGGGCAGGAGAGCAGCTGAAGGAGCTGCCCAGTCGGAGGAAGAGAACAGAGTGCTGACCCTACCTGATCCAGAGTCAGAGACAACTGTACCCAGTGGCAGGACAGACAGGAGTCACTGCTGTCTTCCTAGCCTGTTCCTGCATCTCTAAGTGGAGACTATAATTCCAAGATGGTGGTGAGGAATACCAGAGAGATCTATACAAGAGGCCTTTGCAAACTGTGAAGTGCTGCCTACGTAGGTGACCTTAGTGTCCTTGATCTTCTGAAGTAAAGATAAATGACAGATGAGTCATGGCAGCTAAAGTTCACAAATGAACTCCAGGAGTCTGGCAGGGCGTCAGCCCCAGGTCTCCATTTCTTCATCTACGCAGGACTCAGACCCTCCCTAGCTGTCCACATTTCATATCACACTCTGTATTGAGCCCTTGATCAATCCATAAGTACTCAATTATTCTTGCAAATACATTGTCAGGGCCCACCCAGTGGGAGCTGGAGATGCCCCTAGGTCCCCAACAATAGTGAATCTTTTTTTTTTTTTTTTTAATCTTTTTGAGACAGGGTTTCCCTGTAGCTCCAGCTGGCCCGAAACTTGCTTTGTAGACCAGGCTGGCCTCAAACTCACAGAGCTCTGCCTGTCTTTGCCTCCCGAGTACTTGGATTAAAGGCATGTGTCATGTTCTTCTGAATTGCCCTGGTAAGTACTTGCAGTTTATAAGCAGCACTAGAAAATAAACATGACACCACGTTGAATCTTTTTGCTGATCTCATGGAATGAACTGGAAAGGAAGCTTCCAGAAAGTTCCATGATACTACTCTAGCCAAACAAAGCTACAGGCTTAGAGGGAAGCTGTGTTAGTTGCTGTTATGAAATACCTGAGAGAAGATTTATTTAGGCTCACAGTGTCAGAGATCTCAGCCCATGTCCCATTGGCTCCATTGCTTCTAGGCCTGTGATGAAGTGGAATCATGGCAGTTGCTCCTTTCATGGACACCAGGAAGCAAAGAGAGAGACAGGAGGGAAGAAAACCCTGGATAAAATAGACCCCTCAAACACACTCCCCCAATGACCTACTTTACCTAGGCCCCACCTCCTGAAGTTCTTACCACTTCCCAATGGACCATTAAGTTATCCTTCAATGGATGACTCCTTTGATGAGCTCACAACCCTCATGATCCACCTCCCAAAGTCCCCACCACTGAACACTGTGCACTGGGGACCAGACCTTCAACACAGGACCTTTTGAGACACATTTAGTATGCAAACCCCAACAGAAGGCAACCCATATAACCGAACACAGGCACTCTGGTATGAGGCAGGGGTGCCCAGGCTACCTGGTGTCCTTGAGAGACCAATGTTAACACACACAGGGGAACCATCCGGTCAACTGGACCCAAGGTGATGAGGCTGCTTTTCCAAGGCCCAGCAAGGTTCTCAGGTGTTCAGTGAAAAACCACCTGAAATTAGGTGTATTTTTTTCTTTTCTAATATTATATTAAAAATTTCAAATATAAGCCAAGTGTGGGTTCTTGATCCCAGCTCTCAGGAGGCAGAGGCAGGTTGATCTTTGTGAGATCAAGGTCAGCCTGTTCTATATGCAAGTTCTAGGCCAGCTGAGGCTACAGGGAGACTGTCTCAAAAAAAACACTCCAGGCATGGTGGTATGCAACTTTAAACCCAGCCCTTGGGAGGCAGGGGCAGGAGGATCTCTTTGAGATCGAGGCCAGCCTGGTCCACATAGTGACTTCCAGGCAGACTGGGACTAGGGAGACCCAGTCAA